CCTGTGACAGTAATACAGTACGAGATGTGTATATCAACATGTGCTCCTACAAATAAAGACTTCTGCTGTTCTTTGATACATTGTGTTCTGTGGTCCAATTCGTAATAGCAGCTCCGTAGTCCTGTGCTTTTAGCAGGATTTTTTTTTTTTGGCAGGATTTTTTTTTTCGCCCTCTCGCATTAGTTTTGGGGTCTCCAGAGGATGTCATCCATAAAATTAAATCAGTGTGGCCTTATTCCAAATAAAACAGTTACCGTATTTGCTCTATTAGAAGTGCATCTCCAGTAGAAGCACATGTAAGCCAACAGTTGCATTGTATATTGATTCATTTATTGTTGATTTCCTTATTCAATTTCCGGGTTGATGTATATATGGATCTGAGGCCGGGGTCTGAGGTGGAGATATTCGCTCATATACGGACTCATAAGTATACCAAATCGGAAAAAAATTATTATAAGATATTTATACCTATCTTGACCAGAAATAAGACTTATACTTATACCTAAAATACAAAAAACAAGACCCATTTCTGGGGCAAGCCCCCATTAGGCAAGTTCTATGTATCCCCCCCCCCCCCATACTGGCTCGTCATTTTGACAATGAAATCACAATGTATTCTATTCAATAATAATACATGTAAGTGATTAAATAACACACATCCTTGAAAACGATGCAAAAATCGGGGTTCCTGTCAGACAGATACAGTGGGAATAGAGTGCCATTGCACGTCTTGCAAGATTAACATTAAATCGGGTTGGATTATTTTCGGTCTTACTAGGGATGTCCGGGGGCATGCTCCCCTTACCAATTTTGAAATCTAGACCATCTGAAACACTATTTCCTGCATTTTGAGGGGAGAATTTTGCCGACACAAAGGGTTTCAGCTTGATTTTTGAGGGGCAACGCCCCTCAACATTTTTTTTGAGGGGCGACCACCCCCTCTACCAGCGCCACTGCTGAACCATAATTGTCTATACATAAACAATTGTCCATTCAATAGACAACATGAACATGCACATGATAAAGTGATTGAAGGCTCAGCAACACTCAGAAGCACGGTAATGTGTCACATTGGAGAAACATTCGCGTCCATGAGATGCATTCTTTGAAACAAAATGGCCACCAGTCGGCCCAATCTGAAATATAAAATGACATACAACATATGTGTGTGGTCAAAACTGGCAAGACATATGGCTGGATGCAGATGACCCATGCATAGAATTCATGCATAAGTCCCCGTTTTTGGCCATCAAAAATTAGAAAAAATAGACAAGTGACCTCATGTTCGAAATAACTCCAGTCTTTGTAGACTGTCTTCTCAAAACAGAGTTGATAAAGATTTTCTACGATGAAATATTGTCTATTAGTCATGGTTACCACAATATTCTTGTTATATCACAACCAAGGTACATTGTAGTTAATATGGTTGTCATGAAAATTTCTATCATTACAAATCTCATAGTCCACCATTTTATAGAAGGTCGTGGTTTCTTCCAAGGAAAAGTCTGTTGCTTGTCCAATACCATCTATGAAGTTTTGAATCATCAGATTCATAATAATCAGGACACTGAAATACAATGTACCATGAAACCGCCATCAATATTAATGGAAAATACAAGGGCAATACATATCATTCTGTACACAAATTTATTGAGAGGAGACCATCTTGAGTATGGCGTATAACCATCACTAAGCAAAACTGCTTTCCAACTTTTAGGTTGAGTAAACCAACCAATAATGGCTCTCCATGCCACAATTCCAACACCCACCGATGCTACTTTAAGTATCACTATTTATAAAGTCCAGATAGTCAAGTAATATTCACAAACAACGAAGAATATTCAACTTTTTCGGAGAGCACAAGCAGACAGCTCACACTCCTCTGAAAACACGCGACCTTACAATGACATCTGAAATCGATATAGCATTTTATTTATATTTTGAAAACAATTATGATGTTCGGAAAAAGGAAGCACACATGGTGACTAGCAGAATGATAAAGCATTCAGTATATTATTTTCCAATGGTTCATCCAAACACCACCAACTGCATTTTCAGGAATTTTACTCTAATGGTAGCTGGTAGCTGGACATACTTTTGTTGTCCACTGTAAACACTGAATTGGCACCTAAGTTGATGTAAAATCCTCAAATTTTTGTTGCTTTCACACAAAAAAATGTAAAAGAAGCAATATTTTGCCCATTTTAATTCATCTCTGCGCAAAGACTAGACATAAATATCTTTGTCTGTTAAATATATGTTTGTAATAAGTAATTGACTCGGGGTTCTCCCCCAGAGTATAATAGAATAGTGGCTCCACTGTTAATAAAACAATGGAATAAATTAATATAATAATGATGCAAGAGGTAATTAACATACTACATTGTTATGCAAATTGTCCATTACTCACAGCATTTTGTGGTGGTCACTAATTATGTAAATGGTTATACTACTTTATCTAACAGCAATGTATTACAATAATAAAGTTAATTGGAAGAGTGTTTCTGTTTTTTCTCTCTCGGCCTTGATGTCCTTAATTTGATAGGTTTATCACTGCTCTGCTCCCCTTCGTCCAAGTCGACACATTTTCTTTTACGCTTCAGCGGCCCTGGCAACCGTTCAGTGGAGATCCGGGTCAGTTTACCAATTTCTGCTGTTAGGTCTTCAAATTTCTGATCATAGTCAACAAACTTGCGATTCATTTCATTCAGCTTTCTGTCCTGTACACATATTTTGTTATTTAGATCTGTGATAACTTGTTCCTGTTTTTGTATTCGCTTCTCCTGATCTGAATTCTTCTTTTTATGTTCTAACAACTCTTTTTTGTGTTCAAGGAACTCCTTACGGAAATGCAGTAGGTTATTTATGCTGACTTTTAACTGAGCCTGAAGTTTAATTAGATCCTGACGCCTGGCTGCTACAACACCACTGGAACATGCTGCACTGCCACTTGATATCCCTGAAATAATAACAATATTATTAGAACTGTATGTGTACAATAAATAAAATTGATTTGGTTCCTATAATCATTTACTATATACAGAGCCAATAGTACTTGAATGACCTGATAGATAGATTGAGCCAGCCATCATGAGCAGACTATGCAAAACCAAGTGACGTACATCTACTTCCACTGCTGGTTACTTCATCCACAGAGTTTGAATCAAACAACACATTGCCCATGGTATGGTTCTAGACATGACGAATACATGATTTGTGTTTTTTTTACATCTAATACAGTAATCAGTTGGCCAACTTTGGAAAGATGACAACAATTATTGTTTGTGGCCATGATAGAGGTATAAAGTTTGAATTGCTCATGTACATGTATGAGATGTACATGTCTATCTGGAATACAATTTGTCAAAAGAATAATAGCCACCAGTCACCATCCTGTGTTGAATTTACAAATCAAAGTGATGAGTGATGAGCATCATCTACCAATAATGGTTAATCCATTGAGTTTGAAGAAAATTAGATAACACATGCTTGAGATCTTGTTACTGGTTTCCAAACATGTCAAAATACCTGATTTTTAACAACTAAAGTGAGCAGTGAGCCATCTTTGATCAGACAACAAAATTATTTACAGGTATATGTATGCCACGTCTATGCATAGAGTTTGAAGTGAATTGCTTAAACTATAAACAAGCAGCCTGACGGCTGAGATAGCTCCGCTGTTAGCAATGCACATGGCAATTAAAGAACAGAAGATATCATTAGAAAATGAACAAATCTGAGAGAGGTCCACATGTAGTACCTATATGTTTAGTATATCAAAGCAATTGGACTTGCGGTTTTTAACAAGAAGTCGA